GTCAGGATTTAACCATAGGGGAGGATGTATAAACTGACAATATATTGCATGACGAAATACATATAGGACTAGAGCATACTCCCTCCATCCCAAATTATAAGACGTTTGACTTTTTTTGCCTCAAGTTTGACCACTTGTCTTATTCAAAAAATTTGTGCAAATATAGTCAAATTTAAGTCATTTTTGAAGAATTTTTATTAATAAACCAAATCACGACGAAAGAAGTGATATTTTACACAAATTTTTGAATAAGACGAGTGGTCAAACTTGATATCAAAAAAGTCAAACGTCTTACAATTTGGGATGGATTGAGTACATACTAATCAAATAAATATTTTGTGTTACAATACAAAAGAACACTTAATATTTTATAAAAAAGGGAACAAAATTAATTAGCTCTAGGTCTCTAATGTTCACCGAATCAACCTAGAAAGGAATTACGATAATGACATGAACAAATCAAGGAGCTAAAAAAGACTAATCCCAAGTAATATAGATCAATTCCAAGGGAGAACAAACAAGAAAGCACTAATTGTATTTAGCTAGCTAATTAGAGGGTGTTCTGTGGGAATGAACTAGACGTTTCGTAGACATAATAGAAAGAAACAAAAGAGATGGAGAAAATAATAGGAAGACTAATTCTTAATTATATAAGATAATTAGAGGGTGTATTGTATGGATGAACTATATATTTGGTAGGAAATAATAGAAATAAAAAAAGAAATGGAGAAAATAATAGGAAGACTAATTCTTAATTATACGAGATGATATTAAAGATTAATATGGAGAAAAGACAAAAACAAAACACAAATACAATTATTAACTAGCTATTAGAGTATTATGTAGCTAATTAAGGAGCCATATTGTATGGGACATAGAAATGTTGGGTCCCGGACCCCCTCCACCTTCCCTCAGCCACTGATCTTGTGTCCGCTATATGGACACAAAAGGAAGACAGCGTGGGTATATATATACCACAGCAAGGTAAGTAGGTAACCACATATGTATAACACTCCTTATATCCGTGAGGTCGATCCTTGCGCTAATGAAGAAGTCACATGATTTATGAGAGTGACCCAAACATTATACATCCAACAATTATTATGAAAATAATAACGACATAGACAAGGACATTTAGAACGACAAGGACACTTGCATGCCACAGTAGCTTAAACACATGCATGCAATTGGAGCTGTCAAAACTACTATACAGTTTCGGGTTTCCCTCTCCCACTGGTTCATGATTCTTGATTGCTATTGCTAGGTTGGCTGGTTCGTTTCGTTGCTGGTTCGTGAAGAAGTACTGCTGGCTGGTTTGTGTGAGAGAAAAATACTATTTTGGCTGGAAATTTACGATCGTTTACGACAAGCCACAGTCAAACGAACATGCTGAAGATATGGACAGATGATTGATCAAGGGCCACCTCATGTCTAGCACGCTAAAACCACCTCACGGCCCATGTCGACGCCCTCATGCGACAGTGTTTATGCCTAGGAGTATCATCCCTCCACAGTCAAATCAAATCTGAAAAAACGAGAATGCCAACCGGTTTTTTTACTGTCACTCAGTCAAGAAAAAATACCTTATATGCTATTGTCATAAACCTAAATCCCTTATCTGCTACCTAAAAACGTGATTTTCATATATGTCATTGTGTTGAACTGTAATCACTTCCATGCCAAGATAATTGCCTGAGTAAGCATATAAACATCCGGATGTCAATATTACTTCTACCAGTTATTCCCAAATCAGAGAGGTGGTCAACAATGAGCAAATGAGCGGCTCGACAAGGAAGGAGGTGGATCGAGATAGATCTTTGATGGGGGAATGAGTGGTGCAGGCTGCTGGGCTGTCGACTATGTGGGTTGCTCAGTGTGTAGGCAATATAGGCCTAATTTGAAAGTAAAGGGGAAGGGCAAACTTAGAGATGGAAAGCCCATATGAAGAATTAAGTGGCTAATTAAAATGGCATACTCATGAATTACCTACATGGGAAAAAGTCTAGGATCCCAAAGGGATTGGAGTTTTCAAAATAACCCTCAGCACCCAGTTTGATTTTGCTACGGGCAATAAAAAAAATCTATCAGCTTAGCATCTGCATTCAGCAACGGTATAAGTGCAAAAAAACTCTAGCACAGAGCCTCCTTCTGGCTGCTGAAACAATGGTAAAACAACTTCTAATCCCTATCTCTACAATTAAAACGCACCAAATGCAATCGTCCACCATGTGGAACGAAATCTACCCCCGGCGAAAGGGATCCCCAATCGATTTTTATATTTGCACCGACAACTGGGGCCACATTATTACCATGCCACACACACCTCCCTCCAACTTTTTCCATTCACCGAGACTGCCATTGTCGCCCTATCATCTCCATCTGTGCCACCGCTACCCCCGTCGCCGCCACAGTTTCCCCACCCGGACTACTGCCACCGCTGCCCCAGCCTCTCCACATGGGCCACCATCGTTCCCGACATAGCCTGGGCTTGACAATGAGCGAGCCAAGACAAGGAGCAGGCTCACGCGAGACGCTGAGAGGGATTATCCATGGCTGCCTGGCTGTTGTCCTACCATATCCGACGGCTCCCTCTGGCCTCCACCATGCCTTGTTGCATAAAGGCGGCTCCACCCTCTCCCCTCACCTCCAGCAATGATGGAGCAGATCTTGCGCATTCTATGGCCTTTACCCTTTCTCTCTCCCATACTCTCCCAAATCTCTCGACGGTGCAATGGCGTGTCATGGGCTACGACGCGGGGACCGGTTACTTGGCTCACCTCCCCAACAAGCGGCACGTGGTCCCTCTGGTAGGTGTCGCATGGGCTAGGCAAGACGGCCACGACACGGTGAAGCCAGTAGCTAGGCGGCAGCATGGCACTGGCGCTAGACGGGCCTTGCCCCTATCCCAGCGTGGGTGGGCAACCCCGGCCCTAGCCTCGACACGACCCTACTAGGCACCCACTGCCATGGGAGCAACAACAGTGGGTCAAGGCGCAGGCATGCAGCGGCAACAGCACAGTTGTTCGAGCAAGGTCTATCGATCTTTTCAAGGTGAGGCATCCAATCCTCTGCGTGTAGTACAAGTGGGATGTGTGCTTCATCCATCGCCGCCTCGTCATGTACGCTGAGGGCCGGTCATGGGAAATGGTGCATCCGCCTTCATTGTCATGTCGCTATAGGATCGGCATGTCAATCACCAGCTATCTGACAATGACGTAGTCAACGACACACTCCTGGTCCTGAAATTCCTCTTCCAGCTAGAGGAAGAAGAGGTCGAGCGGATCCTATCATCAAACGGTCTCAATCGTGGCAAGGTCTATCATCTTATGATTTGTACTTCCAGCCATTAAGCCAACATAAGCATGATGCTTACTGCCAAGGACCATATTGATATATTGGTGATACCTTGCTCCGAAAAAAAAACAGACTTACTTGAAATATTACAAATTACAATTGAGGATCTTTGTATATTTGGGCCTTGAGTTGACGACTTTTGATGGAAGATTCATTTTAGAGAAGAAACGTAATGATCTTCTGATGATTTTGCACAGAGTCAAATTGCTCTTTGGTTGTTACTATTTGCATTATTAGTGTATACTATCTGATAATTGAGAGCCAACAATGTAACCTAGTTTAATTCTTTTATGTAGTTTCATGTTGATGCAAACCCTTCATGTCTATCGGATCTTGCATGGCAAATTCAAAATCCCCAACAAGACAAAAGTTGGCCCCATTGTTACTGCATCCGGGAATGAAGGGGAAAGGCACTTAGGGTATATTTGGTTTCCTACCTTTCTTCTAGCCTAGCTAGGAAATAAGTCAGACTAGCCCAAGACTGTCTCTAGCAAGTCAAGATGGACTTCTTAAGCCTGGTTGGGGGTTAGTCACCCAACCAAGCGGGCCCTTAGTACACCTGAGATTGAAGGGGTAATGCAATTCGTCCACACGCGGTGCCGCAACGTGCGACAGCCTGTTCGGTTGGCTGGCACTGGTCGTTGCTGGATCGTGAAGAAGTACTGCTGGCTGGTTTGTTGTGAGAGAAAAATACTATTCCGGCTGAAAATTTACGATGTATACGATAAGCAGCAACCAACCGAACAGGCTGCGAGTTGTCCGTCAAAGGCTTCCAAAGCTAGAGTGACATCACTATAGGATTCACCTGTCTTAGGATGGATTCAAGTGCACGACGTCTCCAATGTAGTGCTTTGGTTCATTCAGGTAAATATTTTTCTTGTGTGGATGATACGAGTGAGAATGGGAGTTAGAATGATAAGGTGATGTGTTCCCTTGATTACTGAAACGGAATCGATGATCACTTGCAGGAGGATAATGTTTCTTACTTAGCAAATTTGATGTGACATGTCTGTTGGCACTGCTATATGTTTTAATTGTTTGCATGCGTTCTGATCTTTGAACTTCGAATAGTTGGACAGTTAAACTGGAGATGAGGTTTTCTTATAGCAACTTGATTGTTTGGAAGTTCAGTGTTCCTAACATGACTGGTATGGTAGTGAGGTGGCTAAGGACTCACAAACACGTGACGAGGGTGACCAAGGACTCCCAAATTCAATTGGTTGGTTTTAACTTGTGAAGAGTGACAATTGACTATAAATGGATTAGTGCAAACATCACGCACAGGAATCATTATTGGTAATAATACAACACGTCCAGATTTAAATTATTGTGACATTATTTTGTTCCCGTTGCAACACAGGGGCAAGATCTAGTCATTAAATAAACGTTTATCCAGCTATATTCAACAACATATACTTAAGACTAATGGCAAAAACACGTTCATCTTTAGCATGCGTGATCTCAGCAACAGAATAAACGACTGAGAACAATATTATGAATTCATGCACTTCTGCAAGCATAAAACGTACAATAAACCTTATTACAAGAAACTAGCTCCAAAACTCTGATCAGTATGGAGCAGGCGTGCTATCAGATGTTAGATCATGTGCAAAAAAGGCTTCAAGACATGGATACATGGCAATAGGTTACTTTGATCTCAGACCTGGAATGTTGTTCAGCCCCATCTTTCTGAGGGCAAGCTTAGGCACTGCAGGAGGGTTATTGAGACCCATACTTCTACTGAACTCATTGGCAAATGATACAAGCTGGTATTTGTCACGTCCGATGAACTTATTTGAATTGTAGTAACCAAGCCACGCCTGATAAGCGGATTCCTTGTCTTTAACCTCCACATGTGCAAGAGCCTTATCGACCTGCACAGATTACAAAATACACAATGTAGCATAACGCAAGTCAGCGACTTGGATATTATTCTAAATAGACTTACATACAAAGTTGTAGGTACAATACATATTTATAAACAAAGCAGTCACCAGATATGAAGCTGTATTTTTAGACCAAAGACCTTGGTCCCACTTTTATAGGAAGCATAAACATATTACTGAGGTTACCAGTTTATAACAAAAACCATATCGCACCTCCATGAAGTTGTATTTAAAAGGAAGATCTCCGTTGGTTGGTAATAGAAAAAGAACTGACTTTTGGTTAGACCGCTTTCCTGAACTATTTGTGGCTGTAATGAGCAAAGCTGCTAAGTGGCAGAAATGGCTGCGAGAAATTGGAACTTTTTTTTAGCCTAGACTTTTTTTTTAGCCTGGACTCCTAAGGTACAGCTGTAGTATTTGAACATACGCACAGACACACACACCCACACACACACAACACACACCCAGTGCGCATGCTAGACCTACAAACTATACACACACCACGCGTCCTTTTGGAGATCGACAAAGTCCCACCAGGTTTCACAAGTGATGGGCACGTCACAGTACCATTGTGGCTTCACATGTATGTTCAGGACCTGCAAGATTAGTTTGGGAATAAATCCCCTGGTGAGACACCCAGGTCCGATCAGGGATCGAACTTGGGCAGGTAGTGCTCGCACCTGGAGCCGCTATCACTGGGCTACATCCCCATTCTCAATAGGAACCTGATATTCAGAAGATGGTTGAGGGTTGGGAGGGAGGGAGGGATGGAGGGAGGGCAATGAGCAATTGTCTGCTGATGAAGATAAAACCCAGATGGGTTGAGGAAAAGAATGGAAATTTCTCTGTTGAATCAATGTATAAGCATCAATGCAGGAATGAAATTGATCTCCCAGATAAGAAAATTTGGAAAGGTAAACGTCCCCTTAAAACCAATATCTTCATGTGGATAATTTTTAAAGATATCATTTTAACCATAGATAACTTGTTGAAAAGAATCTGGACAGGGGATGAGAGGTGTGTCTTTTGTTCAGAAGAAAGAAATGGTGGAACACTTATATTTGGGTGTTCTTCAGCCAAATACGTTTGGAGTTTAGTTGGCCCAGTAATTCTGATTAACTCTGGCCTTCAGCCTAAAGAGATTGTTGTTCTCTTGTTCGCTCGTTCAGTACTGGGCAGGTCTTCAATTGCCAGAGAACAAAGGTGATGCTGGAACAAGGCACAAAGATGCTGAAAGGGGCAGCACTGCATTTCCACCAGCAGGAAGCAGATCGTGGCCAACAGGCAGCGCTGAGCGCTGGCAGGTGTTGGGACTTGAAAGATGGCATCCCTTCCGTGAAACCAGTTTCGAAGTCCGGTGGCGTAGATTCTGTGACTGTTACCTTGCAAGAGTTCTAGTCTTCCTGTAATTGATGAAAGTGATTTCGAAGTCTGATGGCGTGGATTCTGTAGTTATAGTTGGACTGTTTGCGAAAGAAGATAGACAGAATTATATATTCTCTATTGCTGTAGGCTGTACTTATACAGCAGTGAGTGTCCTTGCAAAGAAAGAATAAAGAAAATCCTATAATGTCCTCTAATCTAGCCAATTAATACAGGGCTACAGGCCATAAAAGTACATCAGGTATGATCTGCTATTAAGGCCAGTAATAGCTGAGACAGGAATCCAATTAACCCCTAAGATAATGCCATTCTAACAGTTATAAGTTATAACCATGGGTGCTCCGTTGCAAGCTAGGTTTCCTGCTGTTTGGTAGACTTCTCAGTGCAAAAGCTTTTGGACATCAAAACTCTGTAATTACGTTGCTTTTCACAGTAACGAAATTCAAGATCCCCATTGTGGAACAAAAGAAATGACCGCACATTGCTCACTAAACATTATGAAACTGATAGGCAGCTTACAAAATGTGATTGATGCTTGATAGTCAGCATATCATTTAACTTTTTTTTTTAAAAAACGCAAGAGAGCTGCGTTTCATTGTATTATAGAGATGAAAGGGGGGGGGGTTCCCCAACAGGATCCTCACTCATACGGGGACCAAATATGAGTGAGGCAATTACACAGCCTTATGGTTTAGACACATATTGGACAATACGATTCGACCTTAGCTCAAAAAGACCTAGTCTGCAAGCGCGAGACCTAACCCCTGTAATTTTCTCGCCCCAGACATGCACTAGAGGCTGTGCTCATTCTTCAGCTCACTCCAACATATCATTTAACTAAGTAATACATTCGTCCAATTTTTGGATCTAATTACTATAGTGATGCCATTCAGAACTTCTATTTGCCATTTACAGTATACTTATCTACCCCAAATCAGATCCAAAACATACATTTGGTGAAGAGTCCGACTAACCTGAAATTGGCCAACTGTTGTGATCATGTCAAAGAATATGTAGCATATTACATATACATATCCTTCAGGAAGCAAAGTTTCCCCATAAATAGACCACAACTGATGTTAGTAATAATAATGACTGAAAATTTTGGCTGACAAATTTTAAATATCAGGCCTGAAAAGGGCTGGGCTGAATTTTGTATATGTTTGTGACCTAACAAAGATGAAGGTCTGAGCTGGATTATGAAAGAGCATTAGGGACATGACCTATTACCACCCCTAGATATTACTATAGAATGATAGCCTCAACAGCATTGAACATATGTCTCAGGGAAATGTTGGCTTTTCAGCTTTTGTCAGTAAATTGATTGATTACATGAACATGTATCCATACAACTGTACTACTCAGATTAGCCCAGCTGTTAGATCTTTTGAATGGAGAGTCATCATAATGATGAAACCTAGTCCATGTGACATGACAAATAATTACAGAATTGGAAGTGCTAGATGATTGTTTAAGTATGTTAAGGATGCATGGGTCAAATCAAGCACAGAGTTGTAGACAGAAAAACCCAATGTCAACGCATCAACAGACACCAAAAGTAATGTGGACTTTAGAGACAGCTTCAAAGTACCTTTTTCTTAGTGTCCAGATCAATTAATGGTTGTGTTGCCTCTGTAATAGGCAAGTCCTTGATGCTCCTCAAGAAATATTCTTCCCATGGTGCCAATAGTAAGACTCCTGCCCCCTCATTGCCTCTGCGACCAGTTCTACCAAGTCGATGAATATATTGCTCTCTGTCAGTTGGCACCCCCAACTGTGATAATCATGCTGAGTCAATACTCCGATTTGTAATTAGAAATATGTTAAGGCAAAAAGATAAGCACACCAATAATAAATTCAGACTTCCAACTATCTAGCTACAAGCTGCATGGAGATAAATTTTCAGAATGGCAAATAGTAAGCGCATTTATTCAGGGATTTTATGATTTCTCATTTGTATCATAAAGAGCAAGTAGAAAACCCCATAACTGGAACCATCTGCAAAATAAACATGACCAGAAATTTGTACAAGAGGTTTTTTACCTGCACAACTAGTGTGACATTGGGATAATCAACACCCCTGGCAGATACATCAGAGCTAACAAGAATGAGACCCTTTGACTCCTTAAATTCTTTTGATATCCTAGTTCTGTAGCTTTGAGGTTTTCTGGAGTGGATCTCACGTACATTCAACTTCAACTCAGACAGAAGCTCAGCAACAAGGCTTGTTACTTTTGCTGTTGTACAGAATACAATCACCTGCATTTGTTGCCTCAATCATTGTTGATACATAGAAAATGTATACAAAAGACAATGCAAAGATTACAGTAGCAATTGAAATTTACCTTGTAGTCAACATTTTCAGAAATATGATCAGTTAGAAGACCATATAGGATGGAGAACTGTTTGTCCAGTGGTGCAATTAAATGCATTTGCTTCACCTGAATACAGTAATCATAAGCACCACTTTTGATTTTGAAAATAAGAAGCAATCAAATATATTTGATCTAAGTACCTGAGAGTGTGTTTCCTCACTTCCTTCTTGAACAGTGTTGACAAATTCGAGATCTCTTTTCATGGCAATATGACATACTTGACGAACCTAGCATGAAGAGTAGAAACTGATGGAATACCGACCAAGCAAAGCAAAGAATTACAGCAAGTATACCACAGTGATACCTCATCCGGAACTGTCGCAGAAAATAGAAGTGTTTGACGCTGTTTTGGGAGTGCAGCCACTATTTTTTCAATATCTGATCGGAATCCCATATCTAATAAGCGATCAGCTTCGTCGAGAATTAGAACTCTGACACCCATCAACCTTGTAGCAAACCCTGGAGTGTTCTCCATGTGATCCCTAAGCCTTCCAGGAGTAGCTACAAGAATCTGTAATTCAACAATTCAGCTTTTGGGTCAGAACACAGAACAAATGACAACAGATTTAGCAGCATTATTCAATAAGATAATTTGAATCACCTGGCAAGGGTTAGTATGCATGCGCTTCTGTTCAAGAGCCATTCGAGTGCCGCCTATTACAAGCTGCACTCCAATTGATGGATGGAATTTAAGAAGCTTGTTAGTTTCTACAGCAGCCTGATCAGCAAGCTCACGTGTAGGGCACACTACAACAACACTGATGGGAGGTCTCTTTAGATCACGATCAACAGGTGGTAATTTGGAAACAACTTCAATTGCTGGTAGCTGAAGGTAAAACAATTGCACATTATTATATTCAAAGTCAAACAAAAAGATATTATTCACTGTTCAGAAGGGTACTTACCAAGAAAGCTACAGTTTTTCCAGTTCCTGTCTTTGCTTTGGCTAGTACATCCTTCCCTGCAGAGAGAAGACGTGCTAATAGGTGAGAACAGACTAGAAAAGATGTAAGTCAAGTGGAAATAAAATTCTTTCACAATCATGTGCTTTAACTAATTAAAAAATATATATACATATTAATGCAGTTCAGATTGCCTGACTCAAAATAAAATACTACTTTGAAATCACATGAAAACAGTGAGGATATTGTTTTTCTTGAACCATTGGACAAAGAGAACTACATTTTGGTGAAACTTCCTCTCCCAATATCTTCATCCCTGGATAAATTCTTGATGCAAAGAGAACTTTGCATGGGTAACAAAATTTCAGGCTGCTTCAACTTAAAGGCAACATTACTCAACTTCAAGGAACAGCTATGCAATTTTTCTCAAACAAAAAATCTATGCACATCTGATTTCATAAACAGACATACAGATAGAACTACAAAGAGAAATTCAGTATTTCTTCTAAGTTCTGTAACACCTCCATCAAACTGGGGTTCAGAACTAATCATAAGGATTCCAGACTATACAAGGCTATGAGTAGAAGCCTTGAAGGCAAAATGTTTGGTACAAACCACCCCTTTGGTGAAATCAGGAAAACCCCTTGGAACACATACCTAGAAGTGTTTAAAAAATTTGAAATGATACACATACAGCGTGTCTAGAGATGTACATTGTCACAAAAGTTGAGATGGAAAGGCAACCTAAAAATTCATATGAAAAAAAAAAAATACTCAAGTGCATGTGCATTAGAAAACAAAATTCCTGTGATTGTCATCTAGTAAATGTGCCATTTTCATACAAATTTTAAGAAAACAACTTTGCATTAAAACTTTTGCAATCATGTACATCTATAGATGCACTATGGATGTCAGGATGTGCATCATTTCAAAAAAAAACTTCTAGGCATTTGTTTCAAGGGGGGTTTCATGATTTTACACCGGAGGGGCAGTTTGCACCGAATATTTTGCCAAATATCATGGCTGTTGACATGGCTAACAAACTCCAAACATGTTCACTATATTGGCTTTTGCAAAGGGGTGCAAAGAAATTCAATATAAATAATGGATGGTTCACTAACAGATGATAAAAAAATGTAAGCAACATGTTTACCCCTGCAGTTCATGAAAGAAATTTTATAGATCACTCAAAAATGAAGGTAAAAAGAGCTGAAATGAGAAAAGACAAGAAAGTAGAAATGTGTGGAAAACAATGTCCTTTGCGTGCGCAGTGAACCTCAATATATTTGCTAAACAAAAGTAATATCATAAAGTAAATGCAAAAATGGCAAACATAAAAAAAGAACACTGAAATCAACCTTGAAGTATAATAGGAAGAGTAGCCTCCTGAACAGCAGTCATCCATTCATACCCAGCAGCCTTAACACCTTTCAGTGACAAGGGAGATAGCGGGCATTCGTCAAACCTGTCAGGAAATGAAAGAACATCCATCAGGATAGAATATAGACTATAACTGAAGCATATACCATTTGGTACAAATCTGAATTATTTAGGGAAAAGCAGTTTATCTACACGCATAGCCAGTCATAGCTCATAGGCGTATGTATTGCCAATATATATGTATATAACTTGATCAATGCACGGTGAGAAGCCAAGCAAGATTCAATGAGCTGTTACCATCTACCGTTTGTTACAAGCTGCAGAGAAATTCAACAGAGATATTTAAAAAAATGGTCTGTTAAAATAAAGTTGTAGTAGCAACATCAACCACACCATCAATCAATCAGGAAAATTTTAGCAACAGTTTGCCAAGTCCTCCAAATTATGTTACAAAGACCAATCATCACGAAACTGTGTTAAGAAGTTCAAAGAAACCAAGGGTGTGGGTTCACAATAATAACCTAAATGCCAAGAACAATATCATTAAGCAACTTAACCTACAATCTTGCTGAGGAATATAAACAAAGCAAACCATCTCTATATTCCTCCACTGCTCCATCTTTAACAGTTTCAATCCCTTACTGACGGGAGTTACTCTGAATTCAAAATGTGCATTGTTTGTGAATTTCAAATACCAATTCCAGTGCCGCTAGATGCAAACCATAACTGAGATGATAGTTATACTAAGTCAGAGTGAATGATCCTCAAAGCTCTCACAGTTTCTCCACAAGCCTTAATGTCCTCAGATTCACCGGCTTTTGCTGACTGGAAATACTTAGGTTTCTAATAACACTTCCACAATCCACATTAAGTGGACCAGAATCTGTTACACTAAGTCAGAAACCCACCAAACAACACAAAGGATAGGAGATGTTGCAGCCAAGTTGGAAGCAGAAGTAGAAGGTTTCAACAATAAAGTACTAGTGATAGCCGCCATGGAATTAATGCAGCCAATGAGTCAAACATTATACAAGTACACAAGTAGATTACAGATAATTGAAAGTAATCATGAAGTACACTTGGCAATTAAAAAAATATGAACCACCATTTTTCTCCTATTTTCATTGATGCACATAAATAATCAAATTGGCATCAAGAAAAGAAGAACAAGCTATCTATCTACCTAAGAGAACCATAAATATTATTCCACTTCACTAAGAGTTAAGAGCTACCTCTTATGGCTCAGATAAGAATCACCACCCCCAGTACTTCTTCTGCCCTGTACACTTTCCTGTTTAGCTGGCTCATCTTCGGCTGACATAGATGAGCCAGATTTATTACCTGTTATCTGTCCCACATCCTCCTTAACACCCTTGTCATCAAAAAGATCATCTTCGAACCCTGATGGCTCGTCATCCTCATCAACTTCCCCCACCTCATCATCATCCTCTGACACGCCGAAGTCAAATTTTTTCACACCCCTCGGCTGGCGGTGACCAAAATCCATATCGCTGACCCTCCCACCCCGATGTGATCCATTGGCCATTTTGCCTCTCCTGCCACCTTGATGCCTTACACTACCTTCAAACCCATCTGGACCAGCATCATCATCCGCGTCTTCATCTAAATCACTTCCCCTCCCCCTTCTCTGCGAAAGATCGGACATCCTTCCGTCACGGTCGCGTCTTCCCCTAGAGGATCCTAATCCGATGTCGCCATCATAATCACCAAAATCACTATAACTCCCTCCCTTCCGCGACAGACCCAAATCCCTCCTGCCCTGGCCTCGGCGCAGCCCAACTGTGTCTTCCCTTCCCCCTCTCCTGCGACCATGATGCTGCTTTCCATCACGATCCCCAAACCCAACCAAATCATCATCACTGTCCTCATCGTCATCTAAATCACTCACCCTTCCTCTTCTATGTGACAATCCAGACAGTTGTCCACTGTCACCGCGTCTTCCCCTTGAAGACCCAAATCCAGTGTCACCATCTCGGTCAAAGTCACTGTACCTCCCTCCCCTTCTTGCCACACCTGAACCCCTCCCGCGCTGGCTTGGCTGCCCCCTAGGAGACCTAAATGTGGCCTCCTCATCAAACCCATTCGCCCTCCCTCCTCTTCTCACGAACCCCGACGACCTCTCACCCCGTCCCCGCCTTCCCCTGGAGGAGCCGAACCCGGAATCATCATCATCATCATCCAGGTCACTACTCATCGCCCTCCCCCTCCGCTCGAAGCCGCCGCCCCTATCGCCACTGAACTCACCGCCGGCCATCCTCGACCTCGGGAACGAAGCCCTGGAGTCCCGCCCACCTCGGCCGCCCCTGGATGCGCCGACCGAGGGCCTGCGGGTGGGCGGCGCGTCGCCTTCGTCGCCGCTGCTGAGCCCGAGGTGGAACGAGTCAGTCTTGAGGTCGCTAATCCAGTCGCTGAGCTCCGCCTCGTCCTCCACAAGGCTCTTCGCGGCGCCGGACGAGGAGCGGGCGTGGGAGGAGAAGAAGCACGGGGAGAAGGGCCCAGCTGCGCCATTTCGGAGTGCGACGGAGTGGAGCTGGGGCAGGGGCTCCGCGCGCTGGGACGCGGCGGAGGCGACCGCGCGGCGGACGATGGCGAAGAGGTGGTGGTGGCGCCGCATGGCGGCCGGCCGGCGTTTTAGGGTTTAAGGATGAGAGGGTGAAATTGGGATCCCGGCTCAGGGCCCCGGGGGTTTTAGACCAGGCTCTATGGAGGGATGGTGGCTGCTGCTAGAGAGGTTAGCTCAGGAGCTCTCACAAGCCGTCCGATCGTCGTTGATTACGGTTGTCTTTTTAGAAATTGGATTACAGTTCATATCTGTTATCCAAAATAGTACTCCTTCATCCTAAATTATAAGTCATTCCATAAATTTTGAAAAATCAAAACGTCTTAAGTTTGACTAAATTTATATAATAAGATAATAACATTTATGATACCAACCAAGTATCATTATATTCTTCATTAATTATATTTTCATATCTATTTGATGCCATAAATCTGTATAATTATTTCTATAATTTTAAATAAATTTGAGATGCTTTGACTCTTCAAGATTCTTGGAATGACTTATAATTTAAGATGGATGGAGTACTGTATTATTATTCACTTTTGTTAAGCTAATTTCGTCATAAAACAAATAAGCCATTCATAAGAACTCTTTAGGGCCCCGGGATGTAAACAAAATATCGTTCAAAAGAAGATACTCTCTACATGCTTCGACTGAAATTCGCTAAAGTTCAGGTTTTAACAATTTGGACATACTGCAAATCAGGCCAAAGGCCGAGAAGGTCAGAACAAAAGGCAAGAATCAGCAGTTTGTATCCGTGCATCAAATCACTACAGGAAATCGGAACATATTCTCATCCAAGAACCGCAGCAAGAGCAATATAAAAGTGCATAATGATTTTTTTTTTACAAGGAGCAATGTATATTAGCAGCAAGAAGCTGCAGTGAGGGAAAGCCTTCCTAAGATACAGAGTGCAGAGCCTCCTTGAAGGGGCATCTGGATACATGTGCTGGATTGGAGCAAGTTATGCTTAAATCATTTGGGTACAAAGATGAAGAATGAAAAGCCTGGCTAGCTAGTAGATGTGCCGTGGTGTCAAGGTTTCTAGCTATCTTTGTTTTCGTCGTTGCAGTTGATGAATCTTTGAGTGAAGTAAGTGCATAATGATTTGAGTAGCCGGTAAAACTTAAAAGTAACTAAAGAAATTTCATTTATATATTCATCATTTAAAATGTCTTTTCCTACAGATCAAAAGAATGAATTGAATGCCCGAATCTCTTTCAGGGTTGCTCATGCCTTAATAGAAGTATAACACCCGCAGATCACGTAAAACCAACTAAGTGAGTGTTTAGATCCGGTGACTAAAATTTAAAAGGTATCACGTGAGGATGTCGTATATGGTATTCGGATGCTAATAAAAAATAAATTATAAAATCCGTGAGACGAATTTATTAAACCGAATTAATCCGTCATTAGTATATGTTTACTGTTGCACTACATTGTCAAATCATGGTCTAATTAGACTTAAAAGATTCGTCTCGCAAATTAGTCGCAAGCTGTGCAATTAGTTTCATAACTAGTCTATATTTAATACTCCATGCATGTGTCAAATATCCGATGGAATAACGATTAAAATTTAGGAGGAAAAACCAATACCAGACACCCCCTAATATTCTAGTAAACAAAAGTTAGCATAATGTCCGAGTCGGCGAGTCCTACAGGACTCCTACTTGTCATGGTGAAATTGCACAACGATGCATGTGATGTTGTCTGTGCTGTGCCTGGAGTAGGCAATTTCCGTCAACTTCACGGCTCCAGCCTGAGGTCCATCTTCCGCTTTCAGAATGGCAATGGCATCCTTGTTGACAAGAGACGATAAACAATGATTAGCGATGGAGCTAATAAGACCCTAAACCATATTAGGTTTAAAAAAAACGTGTCTTTGCACTCATGCCAGCATGAGTGTGTCTATCGGATAGCATGCCCAGTTTAAATGGTCATTAAGGTTTTGTTCATATATAGGATTGCACTGAATAGAACGGAGCAACCTTCCTAAATCATACTAGTAGGTAGTATCTAATGCCATGCTCTCTTCTCGGTCACATAAGCAATACCAGATTGCATCAGTCGACCATTTAAGGTAGAATTCAAGGAGATACCTCATTTCGCACAACATCCCAAAGCCCATCGGTAGCAAGAATCAGATATTCCAAGTCACTGCTGACCTCTTCTTCCTGCATTTTTGTATAACATTGCCAAATATTACTTTTCCAGCGGTGTTATCTAACACAAAAGAAATCAGATTTCTAAAAAAACCACCTTTCCAGAAGACTATTGTCGAGTGCATGCCAAGAAAGTGCATCAAGACTAATAGACTATAATCATTATCAGAAATTTAAATGGAGTACTATCATGAGACTCAAATTGGTAACCTAAACTCCAGAATATTACTTCCAGACTCCAGTAGAGCTATGTCAACAGCTTAAAAGATTTCTGCCATTTTTGGCAAGATACTCAAAAGGCGGCAAACTTACTGTTCACACTTTATTGTAACATTATTGGTAGAAACCATGACAGTCATGGTTGGTTATCCTGATTCCCAAGTATTTTGCAAACTCCATTGCATAGTTATTAAGAAGTCGCCTAGGCGACGACTTAGCGTCCGGGCGATTTTTGAAGCTGGGCGTCGGGCTCGCCACAACCTTCGGTCGTATGTCGTCGCCTTGCGTCGGAAGGCGTCGCCTAGGCGCAATTGGGCGTCCAGGCGGACGCCGTGCAAGAGAAGATGCGCGCGGGGGACAGGAAACGGAGAGAAAGAGGCGCGCGCGCGGGGAAAGAGGCGCGCGCGCGGGAAGGAGAGTTGCGCGCGCGGGGGAAAGAGGTGCCCAAAGCGGAGTATATCCGTCCGCGCGGGGGAAAGGGAAGAGGCCGCACGGGGGAAAGGAAAGAGGCCGCGCGAACCTGCCGGCGGCGCGTTGCCTCCTTCCATCAATTTGTGAATCCTCCCTCTTCTTCAACGACTCCTCCCTGATTCGTGCCTCCCCGTCCGCTGGCCTTCCATCAATCTGCGAATCCTCCCTCTTCTTCAACGACTCCTCCCTGATTCGTGCCTCCCCGTCCGCTGGCCTTCAAGCCCACGTCACATAGGTATGAGGAGCCGTCCCTGATTCGTGCCTCCCCGTCCTCTTCCTCTTTCGATGTCCCTTCCTACTCTCCTGCACCTCTGCTGTGTTCTACTCTCCTCTGCTTCTTGTGCTTAGATGCGCCTCTCCTCTGTTCTACTCCGAGCCTCAGCTCTGCTTCTTGTTGCTTGCTCCAGAATTGGCTCCAGAACTGGCAGCAGAAAGGTATGTATAAGCGTATGTGTTGTGCTGTCCTATGGAATGTTAGTGTATGTGTATGGCGTCGCCTCGCCGCACGCCTAATTCGCCTAGGCGTCTGGAAGGGGGTGGAGCGCCGCACCTCGCCTTACCGCCTTAAAAAATATGCTCCATTGTTTCAATTTGAGTACTCTTTCAATATCATTTATTGCCTGGTAATATATCATTTATTGCCCAGACAAGAATTGACTTTAATCTTTGTTTCATCTGAAACCTGTTTCCTTGTCACGAAAAAATAGTAAGAAACAGAAGAATATATTCCTTTCCACAAATAAAGTCCTTTAACACTTCCCACATCCCACACAGTACCACTAAAACAACAGCAATGAAAAGCTTAAACAAACTTCTTCTCAAGAGAAACTATGGGCATCTCATCTTATGTCACTAATACCCACTTTTTATGGTTATTGCAACAACATGAATACTTACTCATGTTCATTAGCATATTGATACAAAGGTAGCATCAATAAATCAAACTTAAAGAATAAACGGCAGGCTAGTGAAACAACAACAACAACAACAACACATAGCCTTTCAGTCCCAAGCAAGTTGGGGTAGGCTAGAGCTGAAACCCACCAAGAGCCCCAAGTCACGGTTCAGACACTTCAATAGCTGCTTTCCAAGTATTCCTATTCAAACATAGATCTCTAGGTATATCTCAAACTTTCAAATATCTTTTTATTGCCTCCCTCCATGTCAATTTCGGTCTTCCTCTACCTCTCCTCATATTATTAGCTTGACTTAGGACTCCACAATGCACTGGTACCTTTGGAGGTCTCCTTTGGACATGGTCAAACCACCTCAACCGATGTTGGACAAGCTTTTCTTCAATTGGTGCTACCTCTAGACGATCACGTATATCATTGTTCCGAACTCGGTTCATTCTTGTGTGATCGCAAATCCATCGCAACATACGCATTTCTGCAACACTCAGTCGTTGAACATGTCGAATCTTTGTAGGCCAACATTCTACTCCATACAACATAGCTGGTCTAATCGCCGTTCTATAGAACTTACCATTTAGCTTTTGTGGTACCCTCTTGTCACAGAGAATGCCAGAAGCTTATCGCCACTTGATCCACCCTGCTTTGATTCTATGGCTAACGTCCGCATCAATATCTCCATCTCTCTGTAGCATCGATCCCAGATACCGAAAGGTATCCTTCTTATGCACTACTTGACCTTTCAAACTCACATCTCCCTCCTCCTATACAACTCCGCCAAAGTCACATCTCATGTATTTGGTTTTAGTTCTGCTCAATCTAAAACCTTTAGACTCAAGGGTCTGCCGTCATAACTCTAGTTTTCTATTTACTCCCGCCTGACTTTCGTCCACTAACACTACATTATTAGCGAACAACATACTCCAAGGGATATCCCCTTATATGTTCCTGGTAACCTCATCCATTACCAAGGCAAAGAGATATGGGCTTAAGACTGACCCTTGATGAAGTCCAATTTTAATCGGGAAGTAATCTGTGTTACCATCGTTTGTTCAAACACTAGTCACAACATTGTTGTACATGTCCTTGATGAGGATCACGTACTTTGATGGGACTTTATGTTTGTCCAAAGACCACCACATAACATTTCTTGGTATCTTGTCATAAGCCTTCTCCAAGTCAATGAAAACCAAGTGGAGGTCCTTCTTCTGCTCTCTAAACCGCTCCATAACATGTCTTATTAAGAAGATTGCTTCTGTGGTTGACCTTCCGGGTATGAAACCAAATTGGTTTGTTGATATCTGCGTCGTTCCTCGCAGGCGCTGCTTGATGACTCTCCCATAACTTCATAGTGTGGCTCATCAACTTAATTACCCGATAATTAATAACTTTGGATATCTCCCTTGTTATTGTAGATTGGTACTAATATACTTCTTCTCCACTCCTCAGGCATCTTGTTCGATCGAAAGATATTGTTGAACATCTTGGTTAGTCATACTATAGCTATATCCCCGAGATATCTCCACACCTTGATTAGGATACCATCAGGGCCCATCGCTTTGCCCCCTTTCATCCTTTTTAAGGCTTCTCTGACCTCCGATTCTTGAATCCTCCGCACAAAGCGCCTGTTAGTGTCATCAAACGAGTCGTCCAGCTGAACAGTGGTGTTCTCGTTCTCACCATCTCACCATTGAACAATTTATCAAAATACTCTTGCCATCTATGTCTGATCTCATCCTCCTTCACCAAGAGCTGAAAGTTCCTTTATTTTTCTTTTAACTTGCTAAATAGACTGGTTTATACTATTTCCAGTTCTAAGACCAACCACACCAAGCCTTTTCTAGGTAGCACTAAAATTCAGAACTACTGAAAGTTTTAATTAGACTTCAAATGTATACCTGAATGTCAGGTTCTGCTGTCACATACTGCTTCAGTAGACGATTGCCGAATGCACGGGACATTGCTAGAATTCCACCAACCCTCCATGTATCTGCAGGAATGCTAATATCAAATGATGAATGACAATAACCAATTAATACTTACAAAGCACCTTCAACCATTTGACAGACAGGAAAACATGTTGATGCAATCAGATGCCACCCCATTAAACTAACCTAAATGTGAAACATTGACTTGCTTATGTTAGAATATCTAGTTTCTATGTGAATGCTTCTACTCTACTTATGAATGCGCCACCTCCTCCAGGCTGGCTTGGCCCTTTGGGCTCCTCTGTAATCTATCACTCTAGTCTAAACTGGCCTCTTCGGGTTCATGCACCCCCTCCTGCATGGGCACCTTGGGATCCACACTCCCTCGCCAACGCTTTCAGCACTGTGATCCTTACGCCACCGGGCAGCAGCGATTGAGTTGTCGATTCAGGTGCTTCCTCCCACATCGCATCCAACCCCGGTATGGTTACCTTATCCTCTTCCTCCACCTTTCCCTCTTCCATTGTTGTTGGCAACGGTGCCACTCTCCCTGTGGTTGGCACCGGTTACTCCACCCTTCCCGGTCCCTTTCGCCTCAACAATGTTCTCCTTGCTCCTGACATCATCAAAAATCTTCTCTCCGTTCATCAATTCACCACTGATAACCATGTTTCTGTTGAATTTGACCCTGTTGGCATTTCTGTAAAGGACCTACGCACGGGCACCATCCTCCTTCGCTGCAATAGCTCGGGACCTCTCTACACCCTACAGCTGCCATCATCATCGTCCGGCTCCTGCGCTCTTGTCACCACCCCGTCGACGATCGATTGGCACCGTCGCCTTGGTCACCCCGGCAAGGATGCCTTCCAACACCTTACTCAGTCCTCCTCTATTATCTACAGCAAGCCCGGCGACACCTTTATGTCATGCTTGTCAGCTTGGACGACATGTTCGGTTACCTTTCACTAGTTCGATGTCCAGGGCATCCAAACCTTTTGATTTAGTTCATTGTGATTTGTGGACCTCTCCTGTACTCAGCATTTCTGGTTTCAAGTACTATTTAGTTATACTTGATGACTACTCGCATTTTCTATGGACTTTCCCACTTCGCCTCAAATCCGACACTTTTTCCACTCTCTCTAATTTTTTCGCCTATGTCTCCACTCAGTTTGGGTGCCCCATAAAATCCATCCAATGCGATAACGGCCGTGAGTTTGACAACTCTTCCTCTCGCGCTTTCTTTCTTGCCAAAGGCGTTTCCCTGCGTATGTCTTGTCCATACACCTCGTAGCAAAAGGCAAGGCTGAGCGCATCCTTCGCACCACAAATAATGTCATCCGCACCTTACTGTTTCAAGCATCTATGCCTCCCTCCTATTGGGTGGACCCTCTTGCCACTGCCACCTATCTGATCAACCGTCTTCCCACCAAGATGTTGGGTCTGTCCACACCCTACTTCGTCCTCCATGCCACTCACCCTTCCTACCGCGAACTTCGGGTCTTTGGGTGTGCCTACTATCCTAATCTCACTGCCACTGCCCCACATAAGCTTGCTCCTCGCTCTACTTTGTGCGTCTTTCTTGGTTATTCCCCTGATCACAAAGGTTATCGCTGCCTTGATCTCACCTCCAACCGGGTCATCATCTCTCGCCATGTTACCTTTGACGAATCCCATTTTCCTTTCTCCCATCACCGATCATCTCCTCCACCCGGCGAGCTTGATTTTCTAACTAATAATGAGCCTCCACCAGCTCCTATTCATTCTGCAGGTACACCCACTACTTCAGGCCGTGCCAGCTCCCTGCCCGTGGCTGCTGCACCCCTGCAGGTTGAGCCGCCCGATGAGCCTCCACTGCTGCCAGTGCTCTCACACAGCCCTGGTCATCTCCCTTGCGGGCACCTGTGTCTCCACACCAGCTTCCCAAGACTTTCGGCTCCACCTCCGCGTCCCCCAGTGCTTGCTACCTCTCCATCGCCGATGATGCTGCTTTGCTCGTCCACGCGCCCATGGTGCCTTGACACCGTGATGCCTCCAACACCCATGGTGCCCATGGCGCCCACCACGACCCAGGCACCACCGACGGCGTTCAACAAACCGCTTTGTCACCCAAGTCTACTCCCGCACGCTCCTGCTCCAAAGACCCTTCACCGACGCGTCTCCCATTGCTTTCTCCCTCCCGTGGCTCGAGCATCGTCCCTTCACCACCTCGCTTCGTGAAGGTGCTCCTCCTGTTGGTGTTGTTCCCATCCCACCGGCCGCCAACTCCCATGGCATGTTGACCCGTGGAAGTCCGGATATCACCAACCGTGCCTTCATCTTCACACCGAGGCGTTGTCACCCATTCCTCGGTCTTGTCGTGACGCCCTCACTGATCCTCACTGGCGTCGCGCCATGGAAGAAGAACATGCAACTCTTATTGAGAACCACACTTGGGACCTCGTTCCTCGCCCTGCCAAGGCAAACGTGGTCACTGGAAAATGGATCTTCAAACACAAATTTCATGCTGATGGTTCCTCGGATGATACAAGGCTCATTGGGTTCTTGAGGCTTTACACAACGGCCAGGTGTCGACTATGATGAAACCTTCAGCCCCGTTGTCAAACCTGCAACTGTCCGCACGGTTATCACTTTGGCCCACTCTCGGGATTGGCCTATACATCAACTTGATGTGAAGAACGCTTTTCTTCATGGGGTTCTTTCAGAGACCGTCTCATCGCTCGCACCCACGTGTTTCATCGATTACGCTCTTCCCAATCATGTCCAAGTTTGAACAAGTCCTGTATGGTGCAAAAGCAGGCACCACGCGCTTGGTACAGTCGGTTTGCTGCTTATTTGGTCACTTTGGGATTCTCTGAAGCTCGCTCGGACACCTCCCTGTTCATCTACCGCCGGGGTGCTGACATAGTCTACCTTCTTCTTTATGTTGATGACATCATACTCACTGCATCCTCCCAGCAGCTTCTCAGTCGTGTTATTGATGCTTTGAAGAAGGAATTCGCCATGAAAGATCTTGGTCCTCTTCATCACTTCCTTGGCATGTCGGTTCAACGACGAGGTCTTTGCTATTTTTCTCTCCCAACGGCGGTATGCTCGATATCTTGGCTCGTCATGGCATGACCGATTGCAAACCTTGCTCTACCCTGTTGACACCTGCGCCAAAGCCTCTCACTAATGGTGGTCCTGCTTTGTTGATCCTACAAATTATCGCAGCCTTTGCGGGTGCTTTACAATACCTCACTTTCACCAGGCCCGACATTGCCTCGCGATCCAAGCAATCTGTCTTCACATGCATGATCCTAGGGAGAGTCACCTTCTTCACGCTAAACGAATCCTTCGATACCTTCAGGGCACTCTGAATTATGGCTGGTCATTCCTCGATCATCCCTACTCAACTTATTGTGTACACGGACACCGACCGGGCCGGTTTGCCCAGACACTCGCCGCTCCACCTCCGGCTATCTTGTCTTCTTCCTTGGAGGCGGCCTCGTCTCTGGTCTTCTAAGCAATAGCACACACGTTTCTCGGTCCAAATAGAGGTCGAGTATCGGTCATCGCCAACGGTGTCGCCGAGGCCTCCCCGGCTGCGGCAACTCTCGCAGGAGCTACATCGGCCGCTTCTGATCCGCTTTGCCTCGTCTCTCATGACAACGTCGGCCGCCGTCTACCTCTCCACCAACCTCGTCCAACATCAATGAACCAAGCACGTGAAATCGACCTCCACTTCGTCCGGGAACGGGTCGCCATTGGGGCTGTCCGTGTGCTCCATGTTCCCACCACGTCGCAATTCGCCGATGTCTTCACCAAGGGGCTCCCTTCCTCTGTTTTCCTAGAATTTCGCTCCAGTCTTAACGTTCGTCCTAGCGACGTTCCGACTGCGGGGGGGTGTTAGAATATCTAGTTTCTATGTGAATGCTTCTACTCTACTTATGAATGCGCCACCTCCTCCAGGCTGGCTTGGCCCTTTGGGCTCCTCTGTAATCTATCACTCTAGTCTAAACTGGCCCCTTCGGGTCTGGTCCCTTGGGCACCTCTGTATCCTCTAGGCTATATATGTAACCCTCTTGTAACACAGCTTTGAATATATAACATCTCAGCCTGTTAGGCTTCTATCAGCTTAAATCATAGGGCTTGTGGTTTAGGCTAAATATTTTGAGGATTCTGAAGAATAAACGGCTTACCCAATTAAGTGGGCTTAAATACATCAAGAGTATTCTAAGGATTAAAAGGCTTACCATCCCATATAACAACACCTCCAGCATCCTGAATTCGCTTCCGTTCATCTGTCCTGTTTGGTTTGTGATCTTTTGACAATGGGACAGCTATATAGCACAGAAACAAATAGTACGTTTAATTATTCTTCACAGATAACAAATAAACCAAAGAACGATTAATATTGACAGAATCAGGGTCATGAAAGCTTATCAAGGCAAAATAGCAACATAATGAAGTAGTGGTGCGGTGATAAATTTTCAGTTCAGCGGAGTTTATATTCCCTACTAGCCTACTCGTACGGTTAGAAACAAGGACCACTCCCCTTGATGATGGAAGTACTTTCTTTTCTCAGATACCATTGATGAGAGAACTGAAACAGAGTACTGCTTCAATTGTTTATGCTCCAGTATAATGTATAGAAAATCATAAAACAAATATAATGAAAAAATAATAGTAATTTACAAATGTGAGAAAAGTGGATGCTGTATGTTTTGGTCTTTTCTTTCTTGCTGCCACTTTACCTTTGCCGCCTTTTGACGCAACAGCACGTGAATCACCAACATTTGCTACATACAGATGATTGCCAATCTGAACAGCAGCCAAAGCAGTTGAACCATCATCTCTAAACGAACTAGATATAGTTTCTATGATATCTCCATCAGTTTCAAGAAATGTTCTGCCTGTGGTTTGCAAAAGTAACAGAAAATAAATGAGTTTGCAGGATTAAAAATGGTTTCAACAGATGAAAAGACACTGCTAAACAGAAGTAAAACACATTACTTATTGCAAGCTTTGTGTCTGTCAGGAACTCAGGATGCTTCATAAGGTTTTTTAACAGATTCTCCTTCAGATATTCAGCGGCAAGGTTTCCTCCATGACCTAATAGACCAAGGCATAAAGTAAATGGATTGCACAAGGAGTCACAAACTAATGAGAGCAAGACTGAAAATGATACCATCAAATACTCCAAACAGGTTAACTGGTTGTCCATCAATTTTAGTTAACTTAATGTCATAACAGTCCTCCATAGTAGACCTCCGCCCTATATAGCTTGAATATCCACAAGTCAGCTTACCATCCTCGCTGCCAACAAAGTTATTTGACATTACATCAGTACCAGTAGTGTCTCAATGTTTAGCAGATTTGAGGATTGAGCAGACAAAGTTGGTATTGCAAGAATAATGTAACTATTAAAGGCTAACAACTCCAAAACAAAATATTAAATGCCAGTAGCTAAAATTAGATATATCCATCTATCATGCCATCCGCATCAAAAAGAAAAACACATATCAACCACTTTGCTGTTCCAAGCTTCCACTAACCAAAAGGTATTAGTAAGATACAGCCACCTTTGCAACAAAAGAAAAAAATAGTAATTTGAAGGATTCCAATCCTATAGGGACATTTCCTATATGTCCCTCTGGAACAAAGTATTGAATCCTATGAAATTCTTATGGATGCCCATGGGATGCATGGATGTATAGAAATTTTGGAGGAAAATTAACATGAGTCTGTGTCTCATTCTCATGGAAACTTTTCTTTGTATCCTATCCATAGTCACATAAAACAGGTTCGAAGGCATCGACCCTCAACCCAGGTTCGTCAACCCGGGTAGCGTACCACGTTCCTCGACCTCGTCGACCCAGAAACTTGGTGACTATGATCTTATCTCTCTCTCTCTTTGAATTCCTGTTTTCTTCTTGTGTTCCTTAAAAAGGTTACGATGGAAACTTTCCTGCGTTTTGAATTCTTGTAGGATTGCAAGTTTCATAAGTCCAACCCAGAGCTGTTCCTATTCCTACATTTTGATTATCTTGTGTGACAAAGAGGCCCTAAACATTTGTTGAGACAAAAGAAAATAAACCTGTCTGCTACTAATATTCTTCGTCATCATCCTAGATTTGCATCTTAATGCCCATCATCAAGCTAATCATTTCCAACTAACAATTTCCTCCTTGAACATCTCGAACATAAGAAGTTTGGGCACCACCACCCTTATCCATCACTAGAATACAACAACATATCTAGATAAACGTTTACCCATGAACATGACACTGGCACACATCGATAGCGTTGATAAAAAAAAATAGACAACATTAACCCACCGATCGGCGCCATTATTACTACCTCTGGAATCCGCCGGTGACCCAGCCCTTGCTCCCCGCCATGGTCGCCGCGCCGCACAGCGTCCCCGCCTGCCGCGCCGTCGAGGCCGACGAGTGGGGCGAGCCGCGAGGCGCCGGCCTGCCCCCGCCCCTGAAGACCCCCGCGCGGAAGCCGCGCCAGCCGGCATCCCACCGCTGGCCGCAGGCGCGCACGCGGCGCCCGCCCGCCGCCGCAATGCCGACCAGGTTCCGCAGGGTAGTGGCGCGCGCCATCCTACCCAGCGCCCGGCGGATGCCGTCGGTCCAGTGGCGCCGGCCTATTACGGGTTCGGGAGGGGACGAGGAGCGAGGCGGTGGCGGGGCTGGAAATGGGACCCTGCGAACAGAACGGCGAATGAGCCACCGGTTAACGAATGAATAAATTGATGATCGACTGGTATTAGCTGGACTCGCTTGGTCAGAAGCTTATTATCAACATTTCTCCTTGTCTGGTTCGTTACTTGAGGGAGTTGCATTGTTTGCTGGTCCGGCCGCCCGATCAGCGGATCTCACACAATTTATTTATTATTAACCTGATTCTTCTGATTGCAAACAATGTTGGTATATGGAGAGCTCGTCGACGGACTTGGAGTGTTAGACAATCCCCCTCTCTCTTTCCTATCTCTTAATATTATAATACCTTGTTGCTCAAAAAAAATTATTAATATCAATTAATTCAATCTCTATCTGTACTCTATCTCTACTCTTCTCTATCTCTACGTCTATCTCTTTCTCTATCTCTATATTTATTATTATTTATTATTTTATTTTACTACTAAAAAGAGTCACCACGACCCATCTACCACTAACGTAGTGAAGCTAGAGCGCTCGAGCCTCTCACCCTGTGATTTTTTGCGCTGGCATGTGGCCCTCGCGTCATCTCCTCCGCATGCTCCCTACTCGGCGTCCGTCAACTCTGTCATGGCAAGGGAAAAAAACAGAAGCCCCCACCCTGCATTGTCATGCTGCTGATGTCTCCCCCGTCAATGCCTCCCCACTCCAAGCGGTCGGCACCATGCCGCGCTCGGTCGCTACGATGTTCTGGCGCCTAGGCCCTGCCCTTAGCCCTACCCCCTCCCCGTCTCGCTCGGCCATTGCCCCAATGCGCGGGGGCTTAGCGTCGCACCGCCGCCCTTGGGCTCCTTCCCGAACTGCGCCTCGTCAGTTGGTGCAGCGACTCCGCTGCTGGTGCTCCGCCTCGCCTACAACCAAATGGGTGTTTTATGCTTCTCATTATGATTTTCTAAGTTTTGTAAGACATTGAGTATTCCCGTTTCAAGAGTACAATCATCTTGAATACAATCATGAAAATGAAGACATACACTAAAAAAGTTGCCATAGTATGAATGTTGACACACGCGGACAAAATATGGAGAACGTAAGATAAAGTGCTAGTAGAGGATCAAATATTTTGTGAAATTATATATTGTTGTTGTTGTAATACAGACAAAAACCTATATATATAGTTTCAGGCCACTAGACTCTCTTGTGCCCAAGCGATGTGATGCTGCTTCACAAGCTTGACACCTTGCAGCAAGTTTGTATTTTACTATTTGTGTTATCCGATGATTTTTTCTCTCTCATTGCAACGCACGAGTAATCATCTAGTTATTATTATTACAACAAAAAAGCGGCAAATATCCAGCTACCCGGCAGGACAAATGGAGTCAATCCTGAGTTTTTCCTCCCACCACAGGGCATGCCACTACCCGGACTTCCCTACCCCGCCATATGCCACTCTTGCGACAATTTTTTTCTTGCACCCCACAGTGTGCCACTCCCGGGCAATCACGTTCACATGTTTCCCTCTGCCCCATCCGTCGCTGCACCTCCATATTTTTCGAGTCGGATTTTCCTTCCATGTATTTTTTTTTCTTTCTATCAAATAAAGGTTCAGTTTATCTCTATATACAAGAGAAAGAATAATTTATGCAAGGGGCGAACCTAATTTTTGAACATAAGAATTATTACTCTAGTTTGCATTTGAATACTGAATTGCGGGACAAATTTTGTCGTTCTTTACCAAATTTATAAATGGATTTTATCAAATTATACGCGAAAAATTTAACACAGCATACCTGTAGCAAAATCCTAGACCCGTCACTTGCAACTAGCAATACTAAACAAGATCCTTTGTGTCGGTCACACTAAACAAGATCCTTTGTGTCGGTCACACTAAACAAGATCCTTTCTACCGATCACACTAAACCATGTCCTTAGAAAGATTCACACTAGCTGTAGGGTCTTTAATTTGAAAGGAAGTAGACCTATTAAGCTAATGAACACACTAGCATAAGATCCAATATAGTGAATCACCAAGTTACTTCAAGCACACAACAACTCCAAGACATGCAAGAATTGGAAGAAGTGAATGCTAGATGTAAAAGGAGAAAAAATAACCGTAGCCCTATGGTTTGAGGGTGTCAAGATAACCCCCCAATCCATGTTGGACGACCCAATAAAGTTTTTCTCCCTTGAGACATAAAGGCTCAAAATCCACTAATAGTATCCACACTCTAGCTCTCTGAAGTGGTAGATCTCAAACCACGTACAAAATCACTAAGGATTTTTGGCCAATATCAGTAGGAGTTTCAAAATGGGACCCTACATTTTAATAACTTGCTCCATCTTCCTCGGATGGGGGGCGCCTTGATCCAACTTCGTCCCAGAATGGAGGACAGGTACCTGAGCCTTGACCGCTACCCTTCCGCGGACTTGGGGTGGCAAAAGTTATGGCTCTACGTCCCTAATGAGAGCCCGCCGTTGCCATTTTATTCTCCTGACCGGCTGCGTGGTAACCTCCCGGAGTCGTGGGAGGAACTACCACCCCAGGAGGACATGCAGGGGGTGCCCTACTTGTTGGATGCGATCAAGGACCTGAAGGGCCAGGGCCTGATGGGGACGAGGGTGATCCGTACCTTCATTGGTCGTCGGTCCTCCCCTTGAAGATGAGGCACCACCCCCAGTGGGAGTTCCGAGGCCTGATGGACCCTACAGTCGAGTCGAGGGTCACCATCCGTGAGGATGACCTAGACCAACGGGTGATGAAGGTTATGGGAGAGTACACGTTGGATCGTGGTAGGGGGAGTCCCCGGAGGCCTTCAGTGCCGGCCATCCTCCACCGACAGACGGACCTCTCGTCGACGTGGTCTCACACCCGCCGCTAGTTCCTCCTGACAAGGTGATTTTTTCGTCTATCGCTGTTCATGTTGTTTCTCTTCATTAAATTAACTAGAGTATGCAAGCAATGCTCACGCTAGTATTTGTGTTCATGCTGCTTAATTTAACTAGTATTTGGAAATTGCCTACTTTCTCAATAGGTGGACGTGGGCGTGACGGCGTCCCGAGGATCGTTGTCCCTGGAGCTGGGTTCTTCGTCCGTTGTCGTGCTCGAAAAGCGGCGTCAGGAACCATCCCCCGGTGGGGGCAGCCTCCAGCCATGATTCCGTCCCCTGCTGATTTGGACAGTCCGGTGAGTCGTTTGCCTTCTCAATCAAATCGCTCTCCCCCTTATCCTGTGGGCTTGAACTTGGCTTGCATTGTGCAGAGAGACAAAACGTCGCTGCACGCCATCACCGATCCCGTCTGACCCCGGATAGTCTTCTGGTGATGCATCGTCAGACGATGAAGAATACTTTAAGTTAAAGGAGTCTTACCTCAAGGGGCTAGTCTGGACGCTGACAAGCTACGCGATGAGCTGAAGGCCGCGACCGCCGCTGGGCATCGCCCAACAAGAAGCCACCAAGGCACGAGGCGAGAAGGCGGCCACTGAGGTGGTGGTCCAGAACCTACTTGTCGATGTTACTGCCGCCTATGACGCCGCCTTCCCCGTGCAGGCTGCAGACAATCCGGTCGCTGCAGAGGAGCACCTCCGAGACCTACCGGCCCGCCTTTGGGCTATGGTGTCCGAAGCCGTTCGTCAAGGGGCTGCCATAGCGCTGGCCGCTGCCCAGCTTTAGTTTGGTGCATAGGTGAAAGTCCTGGTGGTGCACCAGGCTTTTCCGTCGGTACCGGATGATCAAGATTTTATGGATGATCTGTTCGTGAGTGTCGAGCCGACCGCCAACGTTGTCTTAGCGAAGGTGAACGTGGACAGGATCCTGCATGCCCACCTCAAGCCTTGATCTGTGGGACATATTAGTAGTACAAGTCATGACTAAGTTTGGTCCGTGGGACAACCGTATGTGGAGTCTTAATTATTTGCATGTATGTATGTGTTAACTTTTATTGAACTTTGTATTAGTTCGGTTAAACTCTATTGAGCGTGGTGTAGCTTAGGTCCTTTGAACATTTGGTAACTAGTTTCTAGCCCTTGTTGGTTGCTTTTGCCTGCAAATTTCTTTCTGATCTGTAATATAATAACGGTGTTCGCCCTTTCTGATCAAAGGACGTGGGTGTATAGATGTTGAAATTTCTTTGATGAAATTTGTTGAACTGGAAAGAACCATGCAGCGAGGAGTTTATCTAATCAAGTCTCGCCTCGATATAATGTAGAATAGAGGAGACATAGCTGTTGACTTTTACTACGAATGCAAGAAAGTCCACCCGCTGAGTATTTGATCTCGTAGGACAGTATAAAGGGTCATAGAAATCAGTCTGCCCCTCGACTGCTGTGACTGCTTGGATTGGAGTGAAATAAGTACAGAAAAGACCTATCACAACAGCACCAAGCATTCAAGTGTCAAGCATATCATGGTGGTTAAAAGCTCTTTTTCTCGATTAACTTCTTGTGTCTAGCTTTCCTGCTGCATTCGTGTTGACGGTAGATAACAAACATTATAAACCATCAATATAACATGTATAAGGGCATGAATAAGATCACCAACATAGGTTTAGGGGTTTAAATTAATAAATTCCATAAGTTTTGGTGAATCTGTATTTTCAGCAGGGTTTATTCAGGAAACCGTCAAGGTGGACCTACATGTCAGAATTAATCATGCTTATCCACAGCGAAAACAACTCCAGAAGGTTTCAGAGGACACCAGAAGGCAATACGCCGTAGAAGATCGCAGGTGGATGACAGATGGGGCCGGCCGGCCCTTGGGGCCCACATGTCAGCTCCCCGTTGCAATGTCAGTTCTCCACCACCTTAGGGTTTACATCTACGCCATCCTTGCAAGTTGGTTTGATCTGAGGGCTCAGGATTGACGCTTAGGCCTATATATACCAGCCCCTACCCCTCTCCCTAAGGCATTCGATCATTGCATTCAATCAAGAGAAGATAGAAACCCTAA